GTCTTGCTTCCATGAGGTACCAGGTTCAAATCCTATGGGTTACAATTTTTTTATTAAAAAAAATACAACTAACTTAGCAGCATCAGACAACTAACCTAGCAACAAAAGACAACTAACCTAGCAGCAAGAAAGAACAACTAACCTAGCAACAAAACACAACTAACTTAGCAGCATCAGACAACTAACCTAGGAACAAAACACAACTAGCCTAGCAGCAAGAAAGAAATAACCTAGCAACAAAAGACAACTAACCTAGCAGCATCAGACAACTAACCTAGCAGGAAGAAAGAACTAACCTAGGAACAAAGAACTAACCTCTCTCTACAATTCTCTCTCTAAAATTTCCCTCACCCAACCCGGCCTCAACCACCACCACCTCCCGTCACCCACAGCCACCAGCCTCGCCTAGACTGGGCCTTTTGCCCGGTGCTCGTTCCCCCCCATTTTCTAACGCTACCAAGGTTCGGACTTTGTGGTTCATTCCCATGGCTTCAAAAAAAAAGTCTTCCCCTTCCTCGACAACATCACCATCTAAATCACAACCCCCGACCGCCTCCTTCTCGTCAGAGATTGAACCGATCTTGTCCCATCCGGATTTCAGTCGGCCCTCCAAAATTTTTTTCAAAATAATTTTAAACTAGTCGATGTGCCGTCGACCTTCCCCCAGATATCCGCCGGAGACAGCCCCGTGCAATCAGAGTCGTCGGTTGTCGGTTGCACCATCGCTCCTCGTATTTTACAGAACAATCTTTTGACGTCTTCCCAGGATGTGACGGTTTCACGCCAGCTCCACCAATTTCATTTCGGGTCATTTTCAACGGTGGGTCGTCCAGACGCGCCGGTGCCGACGGGAGACCTCACCTAGGCTCAGCCTCGATTAATTAATGGCGGCGCCTTGGTGCAGAAAAACCCTCAGCTGCCAGAAACAACATCTTCATCACTTCGGGCCAAGTTCTTATGGGATAGAGGTGGGCTGCAACTTCCTAGGCCCAAATCAGACTCTACCCTCTCCTCCCTCCAATCTGGGCCGGCCCACTCGCACACAAGGAGGCGTAGAAATTCAGTCCCTTGCCTTTCAATTGGGCCACCTCAGGCCCAACAAACCCTCCCTTTCCCAACACATCTCACATCGCAGTCCATAATTCCCCAACATTCAGCAGATATCCAAACCTGTGTCGCAGGCCTATCCCAACGGCCCACCATCACCTTCTCTTCCCATCTTCATAACCCAAACCCCCAACCCGTTAAACCAAACCAACCTCAGCCCAATGATAAAACTTAACCACAGGCCACACCAGTATCAGAATCAACTCAGCCCAACATCACACTCCAACCCACCAACCATCATCTATCTCCTGCCACAGCATCCACCCAGCTCGCCACCCGCCTTCAGACATCCCCCTCCACAACCATCCAGCCGACAGCAGCCGTGATGTCTTCCGCCGGCGCCGGCGCCGGAGACGCCACCGGAAAATCAAAATCAAAATCCATCGGAAATCGTACCGGGAATATCCGTGAGTCAATTTTCTCGGCCGGAATTCTCGATCCCCGACCAAACACACCTCCTCCGACCAACCAACTTGCCGGAGCTGCCACTCATGCGGCCGGAAATTCTAATCCGGATGTCATGTATATGCGAGAAGACGGTGTTGTGGTTGCGGGGCCAATCACGACGTTGGCGGCTCATCTTTCCAGACCTCCCACGGACGGGACACCGCCGACGGGCCCCCCAACGGCAAACCCCGCTGCACCCGGATCTCTGCCGGGCACTTCCACTGGCCCGCTCTCTTTCCGAGAAGCTATTACGGGGAAGAGAAATGACGTTTTGGGCGGAAAGATTAATCCATGGCCGATACCCAAGGAGTTTATCTTTGACGGGGACTATGACCACGCTTGCGGGACCATCATCCGCTCGGAGGGGAACAGAGTGAATGTCCGATTCTCACAGGCCGAAGCTGACACCCTCGCAGGTAAGTTAGCAAACACACTGGTCTTTAAGTTCACCTATGCTATCCCTCCCCCCCGAGACCTAGCTGCTGGATTAGGAAAATTGGGATATAAGGGTAGGTTCTCATTTAAGTGGTATAACTTCAATCATCTTCTAGTCACTTTTAATCTCTCCGAAGATTATAATGAGGCATGGCTTAGGACTTCTATTTCTGTGTGTGGATGCCCAGCTAGGGTATTCAAGTACACTTCCGGGTTCAACCCGAAGACGGAGACGCCGGCCGTCCCTGTGTGGTGCCGCCTCCCTGGCCTTCCACCACATCTGTATGACTGGGATTCCATCACCACACTTGCTAAGTGTGTCGGAAAAACGGTCCGCATTGATGCTCCGACTGCTCTCCAGTCCAGGGCTAATATGGCGTGGTTTTGTGTCGAGATTGATCTTAGAGTGGAGCCTATCCACGAGATTGAGATTGAGCAGGGTTCGGAGACCTTTGCTCAGCGGGTGATCTACGAGAAGATCCCCGCTTTCTGTTCCGCCTGCAGTCATGTTGGTCATATAGCGACCGACTGCTATATAACTTGGCAATAAGCCACGACCCGCTCCACCTCAGCGCCATCGTACGGCCCAGCTGGGACCCTCCAACAGCCGGAGGGAACCGAAGGGAAAGGGCAAAGGCCCTCTCCAGACACCCGAGTCCCCAAAGGGGGCCACGGATAAGGGCAAGGCGAAGATGGACGCCATTACCCAAACTGTGAAGGATGCTCATCCTGACCAGTCAAATAGATTGATCATAGTTGGGCCCAAGGCCAAGGCTACGGGCTTTATTCCCAGAGAGACACTTCAGTCGGCCTTCAAGGCCAAACACTCGTTCTTTGCTCCCCTCTCCCCTGAGTCAAAGGATGAGGCTGAGCCTTCCTCTAGGGACCCACACAGTCTCTCGGATCTTGGCCTTTTAGAGAACGACGACCTCCTAGTAGATGATCTAGAGCAGCCGGCCACTTCGCCCACTGGCCCGGCCACCCATTTATCTCATGACAGCATTCGTGATGTTGTTCCTTTTTCTGTCCTCCCACATAACCAGGATTGCTCTCTGGAGATGAGGACAGCTCCTGCCACCACTTCCTCGAAAGGGGAATTGCCGGCTCACCTCCCCTCTGCGGAGATTGAGATTTCGACTGAGCCTATAGCTCTCCAGCCACACTCTGACGGTGAGCACCCGAGTGCTCTGCCGGATGGAGTCTCTTCCCCTCTCTTCTCTGAGCAGGCATGCAGTCTTAACCGCGCTCAGCACGACGTCTCGTGCGAGAGTTTTGCCTCCAGTGCTTTCGTGCACCATGACAGACAGGAGGCATGCCCGGACATGGGGCAGGCACCTAGTGTCAGTCTTGGTCAGACTGCTCAGCCTGACGATTCGCAGGCCACGAGCGCTTTCCGAGGGCGTTCCCCAGCGAATACCATACCCACACCGTGCATGACGAGGCAGACCGTCTCTCCGGTTCTTCGTCGATCCTCTTGCCACCTACCCCCTCCCTCAGGTGGTCTGACTCAGCCTCGCCATAGGCGGACCCCATCCGGTGGCTCTTCTGATTGCTGATATGTCTATCACGTCCATTACCTGGAATGGACGGGGACTGGCTAATAGGGCCACTCTCGCTCACCTTCGCTCTCTCATTCGTGATCATAGATTGGATTTTGTCGGCTTTATTGAGCCGATGATTCGCACCCCTGACTTTGACTATTTCTCACGTCGTCTTGGTTTCCATTCGGGCGGTGGGTAACATTTCTCATAAGATCTTCTTCTTCCACTCGCGTGACTACATTGTCGGGTCCTCCGGGACACCGATCAGGTGCTTCATGTCGAGCTTTCTGCTGCCCATCTCCCTGAGCCAATATTTCACACTTTGGTTTACGCCAAGTGTAATAGAGTCGGGAGACACGATCTGTGGGACACCCTGCGTGAGATTGCTGAGAGTATGGAGGGATTGCCATGGATGGTTAGTGGCGATTTCAACATCTTTCTGCACCCCGATGAGCGTGTGAGTGACGGCACGGACCGGTCCCGGGAGATGTGGGACTTTGCTCAGACTGTGGCGGACTGTGAGTTGATAGATGCTGGATGTGAGGGTGAGCCCTTCACGTGGGTTAGGGACGACCTCAAAGAGAGGCTCGACCGTGCTTTGGTCTCTGAAGCGTGGTCGAAGGTGTTTGCGGTCACGACCGTCACGCATCTCACTCGATTTGGGTCTGACCATTCACCACTCCTCATTAGGTGTCGCTTCTCGAGCACTCCCCGCCGCGCTTCCTTTAGGTTCTAGAACATGTGGGTTCACCACCACTCTTTCCATGACACTGTCAGGGATTCCTGGCTTCAACCGACTGGGCTCGTCGGGATGCGCAATCTCGAAACTAAGCTCGGCAGATTACGGCGTAGGTTGAGACAGTGGAACTGGGATGTTTTTGAAAACCTCCATCAGCGCCTTTCTGCGGCTCAGAGTGCGCACGCGGAGGCCGAGCGGGCCTATGACCTGGATCCCACTCCGGAGAATAGGACTGCGATGCACCGCTGCCAAGCCGAGTACCAGCTCCAACTCCTTATGGAGGAGGATTTCTGGAAGCAGAAGGCGACCGTTCGCTGGGTGGCAGAGGGCGAGCGGAACACTAGGTTCTTCCAGGGCTTCGTTAGACAGAAGCATGCTAAGTCGTACATCCATAGTATTGAGGCAGATGGGTCATCCCTGACCCAGGAGTCTCAGATTCGGGAGTCGGCTGTTGCTCACTTCCAGACCCTCTTCACCTCTGACAGATGGTCCCTCGTTGCCCCGACCGTCTCCCTCTTCCCTACCATCCCTCCTTCGGTCGACCTTGTCGACCTCTGTGAGCTTCCGAGCAGGGAGGAGGTTAGGGATGCTGTTTTTGGGATTGATCCCAACAGCGTTTCTGGCCCCGATGGGTTCTCTTCTCTCTTCTATCAGGTCTGCTGGGATATAGTCGAGCCTGATGTTGAGGAGGCGGTATTGGATTTCTTCACCGATCACCGGATGCCGGATTCCTTCACGGCTACCTCTGTCGTCTTGATTCCCGAAAATGCCTTTAACGCTGCCCAAAACCCCTTCCCTTTCCAACAATTTTTACGAATACGTAATGAAAGGGAAGGGCCTACGACAATGACGGAAAAGACCCAATCCGAGATCTTGGTCCGACTACAGGCCCATCAGCCTGTGTAACGTGACCAATAAGCTTATTTTGAAGATTCTTAACGGCCGTCTTTCATCTATGTAATGCCCCGTTTATTTGTGGATTATTTGGGATTTATTATTATTATTTTTATTATTATTATAATTGTTATTATTAATTGGTGATAATATTTATAATTTATTTTCTTGTATGCCAATATGTTTATTAATTGTCAAATGTGATTAAATGCTAATTGTGTAATTGTCTAATTGATTTTTGTGATTTATTTAATTATTATCGTGTACTATAAAAATATGGATAATATATATATACATTGTCCGGTTTATTTTTATCGCGCGTTTGCATCCGAAATCGAGCCCGATAATTTTCGTTGGAACCGAAATTGGCTGAAAATGTCCGTTTAAATTTTAATCGAGCCCGTGAGCCGATTTGTTGTCTCAACCGGCCCAAAAATCCAAATTTGGCCCAACTTCTCGGGCCCGGCCCGACAGATTTTCTTCTCTTTTCCTTTTGGGCGTGAGTTTGTATTTGTCTTGGACAACAAGAGATCAAAACCTAATACAAGTATATGTATATATATCTGCCATCTCGTTTTTGTTCTCTTCTCATCAAACACCCGCAGCCTCTGTTCGATCAGAATTCTTCTTTCTCTCCTTCACGTTGTGATATTTTTTTTTTCGTTCGTTCTTCATCATCGTCTCATCATCACCCTTGCCGGTCATCCTTCTTCTCGTCATCGATCGTCTTCATCACCATCTCCGACCCCCTGTTTCGCGCAAAAACCAGTGGCGAGCCCGCGATTTCCGGCGACCTTCCATTTTGCAGCAGGCCAGCAACTTCCGGCGACCAGTCACGATCTTTCTCTTGTCATCGTTCAGGCGTGAACCTGCTTCCGGCGACTCCCGACCGTCGCTGCTCCGCCCATCGCGCGTTCAGGCCACCGCGAGCAGCTACCCTTGAAGCCGCTGATCCTCCTCGAGCCGTCGAGCTCGTTCGTCGCATCTAGCCACTGCAAATCGAGCCCATCAACCTTACGTCTGTCCGTTTTCGTTCGATTCCCGAGAACGGTACAAAGGCTCGATCCCGTCTCGTTTAAATCATTTATGTCTTTCATGTATGTGTTTGATTTGCGAGATGTGATTATAAATGCGAGCTATGCGTTTCTTTTTTTTTTTGGAAACGATAGAGATTTTATATAAAAGTGCACAAATGTGCAAAAGATACAGCCACGAGCTGAATATAGACAGCCAAAAGCCGAATACAAGCAGCCAACAGCTGAACAAACTGGGAGGACAGGGCCGAAACCCGCCTAGAAACCGACCCCAACGGGGTAATACTCAGACCTAGAAACTAAACACTACAACACTAAAAACTCCCAATGGGAGAAAAAACAAACAAACAACAAGACCCCAACAGGGTAATGCTCGAGTGTGTGGTCCCAACAGGATAATAAAGTCACACTCAAGCTAACCGAGGCAAAATGCCCAAACCTAAAACACAAACAACACAAGACAGGACACGACAAAGCGACACACAAAACAACAACACAACCTACATAAATATAATCTACAGAATATAATGCCGCCCTCAGCTACAACATCCAGAAAAGACAGCAGACAAAGCCAGCTCCGAGGAGAGCTCCGAAGCTCTGGGACCCCGCCCGCCACTGCATAAGGCCTAGCAAGACGAAGACCTAAGCCTCTGAACAAACCAAAAGATACCAACCCGCACACCGACCGCTAGAAATCACAATCGCCCCCCAACCGGCTAACACCACTAGCCAATCCAAAACCGTCCCAAAGTTGCCTAACACCACTAGCCAACTCCGGGAACAGACGGCCTCCTACAAGCTCGAAAACCGAGCAAGAGTAGGAAGGGGGCGAATGACCTCAGGGCTCAGCCGCATCTGCCCTGCTCGACGGAACAAACTCTTCCCGAACCAACTACCTAACCACCCTGCCTGCAAGGACAAATCCCGACCCACCACTCCAACACAGTTGAGGTGCCAGGAGCCAGACTCGGGCCAAAACCCGAAGGCCCGCCATCAGGGTACCCTACCAGCCCGGCAGTAGTAGACAATCCAGCCACAGCTTGAATCCAACCTTCCCACTCCGACCCTGTGAACGGCCGCAGCCCTCCCGATGCCTCGTCATTACGCCGGCCAACTGAGAGCCGGACTGAAAATCTGCAACACCACATCGCTCGGACAGGCGGCCACCAGCGAAGGCTGAAAAGAGGAGAAAAGAACAGGAACGACGCAACCCAACGAGCCGCATCCAGCCACTGCTACCGCACTCCATCTAGCATCTCCACCATGAAGCTCCGAAGCCGCAAATCACAGAGAACGACGAGGTCCGTCGGAGCCCTGCAACCGCACCCCACGGCGAGAGAGATAGAGAAGGAAGTGGTGCAGAAAGTGACTAGGAAGCACGGCGGTGAGCAGTCCACCGGCAAGCTGGATGGCCGCCGAGAGAGGCGCCAATTGCCGACGACGGAACTAGGTCACAGAGAATGTGAAGATCGTGATTTTATGTGTTATCATATGTTTGGGATCTCTTCAATTTTCTAAAAAAATCGAACGAGACCTCAAAAGTCGTGTAAGTCGGTGGATATTGGAACAATGTCGAGTCCTTGGTCTTATAGAAAGGCCTCGGACGAGAAATTTTATGTTGTGAATTAATTTGCAAGTTGTCGAGCTTTTTAATCGCTGTTTCGGTGTTCGAATTTTTAAAAATAGCTCTCTGTTCGAAACGGTTTGAAATTTTGAGGGATATGTTATCTGTTCAATGTATACATTGTGTAAAAATTTCGTAATTTTTAGAGGCCTGTAGCTATTTTTAATAATTAAAGTGTAATCTGATCAGAATAATGTTAAATGCATAAAACATTCATGCTTGAATGGAATGAGCTGAAATTAGAATATGTGATGCCTCTGTGACTTATATGTGTTGTGTTAAAGTTTTAGAATTTTTGGAGTTGATTTGTTGTGGTAAATATTTTATTTATCAAATCTAAAGAAATGTTGTTTGAATTTTTATAAATTGGTTACTTCTTGGAAAATTCTGAAATTTTACTGAAAAGCCTATTTTATGTGTTTGATCATGTTTGTAAAAGATGGGAATTTTTGGAGTCCGTTTTGATTCAGTTTGGGTTTAAATTTGATAAACTGCTGTTGCTCGTATGAATTTTTAAAAATAGCAGCAGTTAACATTTAAGGCTGAGATTTTTATACATGGACTTTAGTATGCTGTATATTGTTGTGTAAAATTTTAAAGTTCAGATTCATTCATTAAGTCCGAGTATGAATTAATGTGCCCATTTTTCTGATATCTTGTTCGAATTTTATAAAATAGGGTACTTCAAGTTTAAAGCTGAAACTTTGTGGTTTTACATGTTTCTGGGAATGAAATTTTGTGTTAATTTTCAGAGCTTAATTCGTAGGGTAGCTTGACCATCTATTTTCATGCGATTAAATGATTTCTATTTTCGAAGCATGATTTTTATATGAAAATTTGGAAATCGACTTGCTTTTAGTTTTGATGTGAATTTGACTTGGTCAATCTTTGGATGGATTTATGTGAACTCCCTTATATGGTTTGGTCGAGTTTAGTGCCGAGTCTTAGTGTTCCAACATCCACAGGACTTCACGAACTACTTAGTCGAATCGAGTTCGACTAGGTCTGTCTTGTGATTTCCGATTTAAGTCAAGATAGATATTGATTGTAGGATCTTGACATCATGTAGGTGTCTAGAGGTGTTGACCTTGCCTTATTCCAAGATTTGTGATCCTGTGAACTGTTGCTGCTATCAGGTGGGTACATTTATGGTGTATTCCATATTTATCGCACTTAATATTTCGTATAAATGCTTTGTTTGAAAAGTGATGTATGCATGAGAACTCTAGTCTAAGTGTCCCGAACGATAGTGCCTTTGACGAATGCATAACAGTGAGAGGTCACCTGCCCGTTGTATCTGGGAGGAGACGCCCTGATCCGTGTGAGTTTCGGGGGGGAAAAACATCTCCACTGTCTCCTGGAAAACATCCATGATCCGTGAGTAGTTCGGGGTGGACTCCCATGATCCGTGAGTAGTTCGGGGTGGGGGAAATTTTCCAGTTACGGCCTTGCCGATGTTTGGTCGGAAGGTTGTTGTATGTACATAGGAGGTTTGCGATAGGGCCGGGTAGGGGGTTTAGGCTATGAATTCTATGCATACGGATATTGATATTGGTTTATTATGAAACTGCTTTCTAAATAATTATACGAGATAACCGTGCGATAATGGTGAGCTAGTTGGTTGCTCACCCCCATTATTTTCTTTGTTGTTTTCCTCTCTTCCTTTGTTTTAGGTTGAGACGAGCTGGAGGCGGTGGCGTAGGACGAGCGAGATGGTGGTCACTGTTTGATGATATATTATGCTTCCGCCTGTTTATGATTTGTTGAACTGAAACTTGACTTGAATTATTTTCTCGCTTGGATTTGGATATTTTATTATGTGTTTATATCCCTGCTTGATTTCGTATACTGATTATGTGTTGCGCATAAACTTGTTACTTAATTATTTGCTTTCATACTTTGGATTATTTATTTATTTGCCTTCGAACTATGTTTGAGTTTTCGTTTGAACTTTG